TTGGGTTTATTTGTTGGGATTTCATCATGATCCTAAAATTCCCTTGGGGTTCTTTTATTCTTTATGTTTTGTATTATACAAATATACAATAAACAGTTATAATTCATAATTAACAATTGCATTTAAACCATGAAAAGATTTTTTAAAAGTTGAATTGAGTGTCATTTGGATTTTCTTTCAGGTACCTTGGCTTATCCTAGTGGTACAGGGGTTATCATTAGGATTCTTCTTGGATATCAACTTTTGGTTTGTGTATTGACTACTGCAATACACAATTAACCATTAACTTTCTGTACATCATAAAAAGATACAATAATTTAACTGTTCCTCTGAACTATAAATGCATAATTTTGCTTAAATAAGTATATTTACTTTTAAATTTTTAACTTCGATAACTGCTCTATATTTAAGACAATTAAAGTGTTAAATTGCCTTTCAAAAACATTTTTTTCTAATTTACAAGTGCATATAAACCATATTTAGAATAATTAAGGTTGTATATGGTGTCCCTGGGGTACCTTGTGGTATCCCTGGGGTTCCTTGTGGTTCCTTGTGGTACCTTGTGGTTCCTTGTGGTAAAAAGACGCACCCTATACATGTAGAAGCATTTTCTCAAGTAAATAATTTTTCAAAGTTCATATACATATTTCAGGAAAATTCAAGACAGATCTGCTACAGTAACTGTACATAAAGTAGCATACATGTGTGACAGGAAAGGAGGAAAATGTATGGCTGGACCGAGATTCTAACCTGGGACCCCTGCATCACTAGTCAGGTGCCCTATTGACTTAAATACATGTACTGGTAAATGCTTGTGTATAGACATACAAAAAAAAACCACATAGTAAATTGAATTAAAAACTGAATACATGAAACCAAAAATTATAAAATGTAAAGATGTCTTCTAACTTGAAATGAGATTGTTTCAACTATAACACCAAGGAATTGGTATGATAATCTGAAGAAGTCAGTATTGTTAAAAAACTTATGAGACATGGTTTTTTAACAATACATGTACATACTGACTTCTTCACATTATCATACCTAAATTTACAAAAAATTAAATTTACAAATTAAATCAGAATTGTTAATAAATTGTACAATATCTTTTAAATAGGTCAAGTTATCTACTTTAATTTTTATTGTCTTTTCTTCATGTTACAGATCTTATGGACATACATGATCCTTGGCTATATAATTGAGTGTCATATGCAGTGTTACAAAAGAATATTGGAATTATGTCAATAAGGTAATTAGGACAAGACTGGATTAAAAACCAAGGAATAAGAATGATGTGAAAAATGTATTTTAATTCCATATACAATAGTTACTGTATGTGTACATAAATTGGCATATTTAAAATTTAGCACAGTTACTGGGTGTGGAATTTTTGGCAAAAATCATGAAGTCGAGCTATATATGTCCCTGCTGTATATTGTATTTACAAATGATTTCTTAGCAGTATTCTTGAATTAGCGCATCGTTTTTGTGCCAAAGCCGCTACAATATGAAGCCCGCTTTTTTAAGTACACATACAGCATGTTGCTAGTTGCTGTATGTATTGTTTTACATTAAAGATGTTTCATTGACAGGTACATGTAGTGTTTTTTGCACAAAAACTTTATCCTTTGGCCTTAACTCTTAAACTTTTATTGCTGGGTCTTTGTATTTCACATGTTTATTTCTTTTTTTTAACCCCATGATCTTGGCCTTAGAGTGTGCCCTACATTGAGAAACTAGAATATTTAATCTTTATCTATATATACCATTTTTTTTTTTTTTTTTTTTTTTTTTGATTTAGACACTTCATTAATCCAGTCAGAAATGTCTTATATTCATAATATAGACATAGTCATACCATGTTTGCAGTGTAAGAAAGAAGTAGTATATGTATTTTAGTTCTTTAAATATTAAAATAATTTGTTCATTTCAGAAAAAGAACTACCAGAAGGATACAGTAAAGAGGAAACAGACATATCCCACCCATTAGATATCTGAATATACAGAATGAATTCCACTAATTGCAGCTCCTTCTGAAAAGAACACCTTTTTTTGTATTGACATTGAATCAACAGAATTGTCCGGTTCCTTGAACATGACACAACTGGATGCATATGATGGCAATTAAAGATTCATACATGTGTACATTGATCTTCGTCAGTCAATAAGCCAAAAAACTACAGCTAGCAAACAGCTACAGCTAGCAAAATAACAAGTTTATCTTACTTTTCCAAATGAATCTTAATGGTAATACATGTACATGTAGCATCAACATTCATCAAGCATTGTTATATTTCTTAGATTTTCTTAAATCAAACCATCCTTTTCTTGTTGCAGGTCATAATGTTGTATCAAATGACATTCCAATTTTCTTGAAATTACTTGAGGAGTTTGGACTTCAAGAAAAACTTACATATTAGTGAATGTATTAACTTTATTTTGTTGAATTATATTCCAAGTTTAAAAGTTGTACACCATCATATATAGTTTATGGTGGGACTCCTCTAACTTTTATGAACCTGTGTGTATAAAATCTATACTTTAAAGTAACAAATTGTTACCTTTAATAGATTATATGTTCTTACGTAAATTATTACACTATTTTTGTATGTATGTAATGATAACCGAATCACTCTATTTCCCAGCACTTTTTACCTTTGTGATGCTTTAGTGTATTAATATCTGACTACTGATGACCAGGCTGTCTTCATTAAACAGTGAAACACATAACTCATGCTTTTATTTGAATATCTTTAAAACAAGGATAACATACTGTGGATTGATTCTGTTTAAAAAACTTCATAATCACTGGGTATTCTTATACATGTTATACATGTATTTGGAATGAAAAAGGAATTGTTAAAGGAAAGTGAAATTAATACTAATTGTCAAAGGAAGATTAAAAGACCAGTTTATTTATGCACAGAATTGGTCAAAAGATATTGTCATTGATAATTCATCCAAGAATCATATGTATAATAAATCTATCAAAGTCAATTTTAACGATATAAAGGAAAGTTCATATCTGTTTGAATGTAAGTGCAAAAAGGTCAACCAGGGCAATATGTGTCTAGGATGTATAAATATTTGCTTTTGTGATATAAAATGTAATTTAGAAGAATATTACAAAGAATTTACTCATTTTCTGTGAAATATTTTGATGAATTCTTTGATAATCTCTCTTAGTCACCATATTCTTCAAAAGTGCATCCTTTGTAAAGGAAGGGGGTAGGGTAGGGTGTAAGATAATAAACTTGCGCCAGGTTGAAATTAAACCCCATTATGTAGTATGATTTTTTTCTGAAATTTAAGATACCTATTGACTAACTATAATATGCAATAAAAAAAGAAATTTGATGGGTAATTTTTTCACAGTGGAAGCAGAAGTGTGAGTCTTTGAGCAATGAATAGGCAATATTTTAACATAATTTGACCATGCATCTTGGTGAATGTAATTCTGTTTTTCGTTTACAATGCTTGATAATTTTAAGTTTGATGTCAAATATTAATTCATATAGACATATGTTTGAATTCATATAAGACAAATGGTAATTAATATATCAATAAAAATTTTATAGCCCTTTTCATATCTTCTTCTTATATTATTTTACCCTGCTTTTTCAGCTCTTCGGTGGATGATGGAGGCTATATTAAAATTATCAAATTTCTATTAAACTATCCCGATGACCTACCTTGAATTTTTAATATGATTTAGAACAAAGACTCAAAACAAACATATATAAAATTCAGAAAATTTCAATGGTTAGTTTTTTTGTTGACAACCTATCAATCTCTACCTTAAGATGTTAATCAAATGTATTAAGTATTTCGCTTCCAAATTGATAAAACTTTTTATACTTTAAATGCAAAAATATTCCTTAATCACAGTTGCAGAAGTTAAATTCTTAAGTGAGACTACTTTTTTGTCTAATTCAATTTTGTTATATCGAAAAGTTTTGATCTTTTTTTATCTGATTTGAAACTACAATCGATCAAATTAGGTTCCATGGTCACTTTCAGATAAGTTCCAGATCCTCGTGGTTTGTGTGCAGTTGAATAAAAGTTATGGAAGTTAATTGACTTTCTGCGACATACTATGATTTCGAATGAAACAAGATTAATGTATTTCTTTGCAAGAAGAGGTTTTCCTTTTATATAGAAAAAAAAACTTTTAATATCCCATTCATTTAATTCGGAACGCTTGTACAACTGAAAAATTCGTCTTGAAATCTGTAAATGAGTAAAGACATTAAGATTTCCAGTAGAATAGATTTTAATACATTATATTATCTTTATGTCAAAAAAGGACACACTAAATAAGAATGCTACAATGCTCCTGGAGTCTCTTGTTTTTAAAAGTATATGTTAGAAATATTTCCGATACATGGCGGAACAAAAACATTAGGGCCATTAAAAGAAAAATTTTAATATAAGAACCCTCAGCAAGACAATGACCCGGTTTTTGTTCGTTTATTCTTGAATTTAAAGGCGGCGGAGTTTGGCGCGAAACCAGTCTTGGTAATAATGCAGCCATTTAAAGTGTTTGTGTATAAGTTTGGCTTTGTTTACTTATTGAATAAAACCTTTACTGGATTACATACGCTGTGATCGATATATTGATTCGTACATGCCTCGTATGCATTTAAAATGTTGTAAAGAAACGGAGAACCAAGAAGACAAGGGTAGGTTATTGGCGATATGAATTGGTCATTTTATCATAGATTATTTTTCTTCGAATCCAGACAAAGAATTGCATGTTTAATTTTAATATCTAGTGCAGATACAACTGTAATCTACTAATAGCACTGATTGGATTTCAGATTAAAATTTAATCGCAAAACATTCACAAATTAAAACCCAGTCAGGTTTGACTCAGCGTTTTAAAAACCAAAAATAATCAATTAATGACTTGAGATCTAAACATAAAAATGCATCAAACATATTTTTATGCTGAAAATTGACACATTGTTTATATTAACGACGCACTTTCACAACAGCTGCAAGAACTGCGGTATGAGAAAATTCGGACAGCACTATGACAGAACTAGATGTTGCTACTCGACAACGCCAGATCGAAATTCTCCAGTGCATGGTTTCCAAAGACGAAGACGAAATAATATGGAAGTTGTCGGCTAACAAGGACATCATGAAACAGAATATTGGATTCGGTAATGTTCATCGTTTTTTTCGCCGGGCGAAGGTTGCACAAATGCTTGTTACTTTTAGCAATAGTAAACTATAAACCTTTATGCACATTAATGTAACTGAAGTCTTTCATAGTCTTTCAACCACGAATTCATCTTACTGACTTCAAGTATTATCAATTCTTTCAATTTTTTTCTTCAGATTACGAGAGTCGTAACAGAATGTGCATCTGCGGACAAATGTTCGAGAAATTACGTCATAATAATCACGTGTTTCACGTGGAGAAGATGTCGGTGTGGGTGTTGGAGGGACGCTGTCCACACGTAGAACAGACTGCCGAGTCCTCTCCACAGCACGCTTCTACCACTTTCCTCCTCTCTGCTTGTGCACTTGGAAAGTTAAGAGTGATTAAATTTTTAGTTCATGAACACGACTGTAAGTTAAACGAACCTACACGAGCAACTCTGTTTGCTCCAATACACTTTGCAATATACAACAAAGACGTTGAACTGTTTAAATTTCTTACATCCAAGAAAGTTAATATAAATGTTTGCTGCCGAGGAGAAGAGAGATACTCGGCCTTAATGTTGGCTGTACTAGAGAACGCAGAAGAAATAGTGCAGATGCTATTGAAAATGGAATCACTGCAAAAGAACTTTGTTAACTCGTACCAGAAAGGAGCTCTGTGTTGTGCAGTAGAAATGAACAATAAGAGAATGGTACAATTGCTGACCGATAATGGTGTCATGGCTACCCCAGGAACTCTTTATAGGGCAGATATTTATGGCGATGACGACATCACAGAGCGTATACTGCAGACACGAGAAGCAGACTTCTATACTCCACAACAGCAGCATACGCTTATCTACTCTGCTGTTGTTAAAGGTAGGAACATAAATCAATTAAGCTATGCCTGGTTTTTCTCAAGAGAATGTTCTTATTCTTCATTACGGCACAGATTCCTGTTGCCTTCCTCTTGAAAAACCTTTTGCCCTGAATCTCTACTGCGGTACTCCAGAATATGATAACTTTTCTCCTTAAATCACCCTATTTTTCGTTTCAGGTAAAGCGACATCTCTGAACTTGCTTTTACAACATGGCTTCCAGCTGAACCATCGCCCGGATTATCTCTGTCCAGTGGAAGAAGATCCATTATTCCACGCCACCTTACAAAATAATCCTGAAATGATTAATATTCTGTTAGCACATAAAGCAGATATCAGTAGAAAAATATATGGCACCACCTCTTACGATTTGGCTAGAATATTAGATTTAAAGGAGGTATGTGTGATCTTGGAAAATGAATTGCACAGAAGATGTCTTCCTGTTAAGTCCGAACTACAGAAGAATGCTAGTCCATATATGACGATATTAACTCTAGCAGGAGTAAACAAGAAAGAATTCGTCTCTAAGCTTGCTTCTAAAGGTCTTGATATCAATGCTAATGATGATGGTGGGTTTACCCCTTTGCACGAATCTATAAATCGTGAAGACGAAGCAATGGTGAAGCACTTGCTGCAGTGTGGCGCGGATCCTAATCGACAAAGCGCTGAACCCGGCTATATGACACCTCTTCACATCGCCATCATAAAAGGAAATCTCAATTTAGTTAAAATGCTCCTGAGCATGAATGTGAAGATGGAGGTGGTTCGTCCAGTCCTCGTATTGTGGGGAACAGATACATATTACACGGACTGGATCGTTGACCCCAAACTAATGCCGCGTCATCGCTCTTCTCTCTGTGATGCTATCTGTAGGAATTTCGTCACCATCGCTCTTTTTCTATTGGATGCTGGCAATAATATAGCCGAAGAAGACCCAGAGAGTGTTAAATTTATGATCAAATACACCCGAAGTGACGTCATTCGCAGACGACTATTGGATCATATGCAGACTCCACGAAACTTGGGTGTGCTTTGTAGGAATTACCTCAGACGAATGCATAGAAATGATATTCAAGAATTTGTGGCGTCTCAAGAACTACCACATTCTCTGAAACAGTCTTTACTGCTGCAAGATGTCATCGAGCCTTCGTTGTTTGTCCGAAGGGAAAATAAACAATATGCATACTAGATACATATCTAATGATAGGGTACCCTTAAAATATTTTGTTGAAAAATAAATTAAAGAACGTTCTTCTTTTTATGAATGTGAAATATTTAAAAAAAAATTATCGGATGATAAATCTCAAACTGTATGAATGGGCTGCAAAAAAAGTATTTCAAATATTTTAAGAATACTATGCATCTTACAATATGCGGTGTCATGAGCACAGTTGTTCTCTGACTACATTATAACTAGTCTGTTTTATATACGTAATAGGTAAATTAAGTATTTATTAATTACATCTGTAATATTTTCTATAAGAACAGATGTTTATACTGAAAAGAGAGAAAGCATTTTTGCATTACTCTGTAAATCGATGACATTCCATAAATGTATAAAAATCGTCTTCCATAAAAAAAAATTGAATTAATTTATGGCACCTTCCGATAAATATGCATCGATACCTGAAACATTAAAATAATAAAAAGGTTTGGAGACAGCGAGCATCCACGTAGACAGAGAAATCCATTATCGGGAGGTTTGAAACAAACATGACCTGCAGGTCTCCATTTCTACACGAGGAGCTTTATATACTACTCATTGTTTTATCTGATCAGTTCATTATTTTCTTTTTTTTAAGAATAACTGCCTAGTGTGTTTTTCTAATGATGTGATCAAACGGTTTGGTCACGTGATAATTAACATAAATGCCGAAGGCATTTATGCATAAAATTATTACGTGAGCAAACTTTTCAATCATAAAAAAGAAAGAAAAGATAATTATTCCTTAAATATATTTAGATTTTTGAATGATCCTTGATTCAAATATATTTTTAAAAAAAAGTTTACTTATTTTTGTTCAATAATTGGAAATCTAAATCTAAATCTTCCAGTCCCACCGAGTGTATCAATTAATAAGCCAGTAAACAGCCAGCGAGAAGACAGTGCTGTCACGTGATGAGCATATGGCTTTACGAAGATATAAAACTACATAATGTGTTTTCTTATTTTTAGTTTTACCTCGAACAAAGACATTTGAAAATATAAATCTTTATTCAGAAATTCTTAATAAACTTTAGTAATCTAAATAAATTTGTATATTTTATGGTCACATTTATTTAAACTTTCAAATAAACCGAGCATAAAACACATCTTTTTGGCGTAAATAGCAAAAATCGCAGTATACACAAATTAATATAGAAAGAGCTAGGTTCACTTTATGCATAAAATGGCCCTGTAGGTATACCAAATTATTGACTAATACCCCGTGTACCATTTTCAACATTAATATAAAGTAGAGACCTAGTGCTTTCAGTTTATAAACTAGAATTTCCTTTGAAGAGTCCAGGCATTGAAAAACAGGTTGTGTGAAATTGCAATGTTATTGAATTTTGCAGAAAACAGGTGTTTTTGAGAACCTTCAGCAAAGAATTAAAATATGAGCACACCCCTCGATCCAAAAATTAAAATATGTTTTAAAATCTTCATTAACAGTTCTTTTATAATATAGTTACACATTTTGGATCGGAGGTTGTGCTGTATACGAAATGTTGAAAAATGGCATCACATTTTGGCCATTTTTGAAGAAATATTCAGGACATGTGAATAATGACGCAATTCATGACGTCATAATGCATTGACTAGAAAGAAAATTACGTCATTTTCAGTAGATATTCATTTACCAAGTGTTCAAGTATTATTTATTGCCTTGTTGACTAATACTATACAGTTTTGAATTTTCAGAAATTCACAAGGCCAAAAAAGGCCCTAAGTGGCTCTTGCTCTTTGTTTGAATATGCATTAAGCTACATTTAAAATTCATCTGAACAAGTGTTAAAACATGATACAATGGTAGCTAGAAATTTTTTCTCAATGTTATGATTTGAGTTTCCACTGTGGTTTCATCTTCTTTCTTTCTTTTTTTTCGTTGACTTATTCTAGTTGTTTTCATGGTCAAACCATGGCAGAAAATTAGATGATCAACGATACTAAATTTTACTAATGATAGGATCAAGTATGGAGACAACGAACAGTAATCAATCTCAAAGTCCATAGGAAAAATACAAATTAGGAGCAGAGCAAACACAGACCTCTAAAATCATCAGAGGTGGGATCAGGTGCCATGGAGGAGTAAGCATCCCCTGCCGACCGGTCACACCCGCCATGTGATTCTTGTCATGATCGGGAAAAAGGGAAAATCCGTAGACAGTTCAATGTGTAAATAATGGCCTAACAATCAGTCTACTTATATGCAAAACGTCAGACAGCCTTCGACTTAATAACAGATTGTACTTGCTGACAAGGTCATTGCATCGTCCATAGAACTTACGAAATGATGACTTTAAACGAGACTGCTGATATTCTTGTTTCAACAATATTTGTAAATAGCTTGCCTCCTTTTAGAAATTGTTCGTACGTAGAGCATGCTCTTGTATATCGAATCAACTGGGAGACATAAACCCCATGTGCAGGTGATAAGGGTAAACTGCTACTTAAGAAAGGGAAGTTGACGATAGAAAAGTTGAAGTCATCACGTTTATCACGAAGTTTTATTGTTAGGTTACCATTAACATCTTTTTCTAGTAAAATATCCAAATATAATAGGATAGGGTAGTTATCCATAAATTTACATATCAATAATTTCTTTTTTCTAAAAACTTTGAAATTTGTTCCCTAACAAAACTAATGAAATCAGAGTATTACAACAAATTAAGTTAAATGTCATTCATTTGTCAATGGATGTAATATATACCAATGAATAAAACTACAAAAGTTCCTGATCTAAGTGAAAGTGATCAGAATAACAATTTATTGTTCTATACTTTTGGTATCAGATAGACCCCATATATATATGCACAATAGTATAGTCTCAATGTATGAATCTTTTTTCGGTTATCCAACTGATACGAAATCAGTTGACTGTATTTTATGTAAGTGGAACTCTGTACGAGTGTTTTATAATTAAACGTATAGGTCTGTATAGCCAGTACAGGATTGTAATCTTGACAGATTTATGGCACACAATCTGGAGAAGAAAATAAAACAGTATGTCTCCTTTTGATGAAGACGTTATAATTACACAATAACAGTAAATGCTAATAATAAAATTATTTGTAATAAAATGGTTTTTGTAAGAAATCACACAGTGGATACTGATTACTTTATATATCAGTAAAAGCCTATTGAGGATACAATTTCCTATTAACCTTAGTTCAAGATCACAAACTTCCTATAATGCTTCTGTTGGATGTCATCACTTTGTCTCTTCGCAACCCCTGTTAGAGATCTGATACCTAAATCTCTAGGACAGGTTTGGCCCAACAATCTTTAGTTCAGTTTCACCTACATCTGTGACTGTGTTGGTCTTTTATTTGCCAATACAGGTCTGGCATTTTATTCTCTGTTTTCATCATGTCTATGTAAAGTCTTGCACATAAATCTACAAAAAAGGTCTTTTTTCCCAGCCTATTTGTCGAGCATGTCACGGCTATCTCAGCAATTTCTCTTACAGCTAGGTCTGGTCTACCAATCTTCGTGGATTCTCTTGGATATAATTTCAAATGTCTACGTTAGGTCTTTCCTGTCAATTTCTTTGTAACGTTAAGTTCATCAATCTCTATTTCAGGTTTAGTCCAACCATCTTTACGTTATTCTGGTCCACAAGTCTCCAAAATGGGCTTGCTGACCAATTTCTGTGTCAGGTCATGTCATCCATTATCCAAGGCTTGTGCTACATTCTCTATGTCAGATTCTGACATCTGACATAATCTCTATAACAGATCTAATCACATATAATTATCTCTAGGACATATCTGGTTCACAATTTAATGTCAGGTCAAGATCCTCTATCTTTGTTAGTCTGGTCCACCAATTCTTATGTTACATCATATATGCAAAGTTCTATATCAGGTCTCGTTCAACAGTCTAAGTCACTCGGTATGTCATGTTTAGTCCAATAATCTCTGAGAGAGGAGTTTCTCCAACCACCATGACAGTTCTTGTCCACAAATGTCTGTATCAGGTCTGGATCATGTTAGGTCCAATTCACCAAGCTAGGTATGGTTCACATTGGTTCATATAAGTCTTGTATCATAAAATACCCATTTGCCATCTATATATATACACATGGAGAGAATCAATATATATATCTTAAAAATTCTTAATATTGATAAAATTAAAATGAGTCTTAAGACCAAAAGTCAAAAATTGATGGGTCAGTAGAAATTCTTTTTTTTTTTAATTTCTTTAAAAACAAAAGAAGGAAAAAAGAAGAACTTGTAAAATACACTGTGTCTTAAGAACAGAAAGGTTTGGATGAGAGAAGTTATATTAGGTCATCCTTAATTAATGTACATATGTACCTCCAACTTCATCCAATACTTAAAGTAGTACGTAGAACTATTTTATATCATCGATAAAATAGAAGGAAAAAACGTACTGTAATATTAGCATATCAACCACTATTTCTCTCTATTACAGTACTACTAGTAATTAATATATAAATTAAAATAAGTATTAACTAATACAATTAAAGAAATCACCCCTAACAATTAAAGAGAATATTGCTGATTTACATTGATTATAAAACATGAATTCTACCTTATATCAGCTTTTTTGTTTCCACTGATAATACGGGATAATATTTACTGTAAATATACTTAATCGAATTTAAACAAGATTTTAAATTATTGAAGATGTTATCATTCTTGAGATCTATGTGTCTTTGTTTCTCAGAGTCACTAGGGGTTGTTAGATATCGCAAATATATCATCTAGACTAACCGCTTGACAGCGATTGAGAATTCCGCCAATACTGTGTCAACAATACGAGTCATTTTCCACAAGCAGACGTTGATAAAAACAGGTGCTTTTTAATTTTCTTTTGGTGATAAGTGTGGTTCAGTGGGCGAGTTGATGTGTAACGTGGAGTGGCGGGTGGTCCTATAAACTAAGGGTGGAGATACCGAATTCTTGTTCATAACCTGGGGATGAGCTACACAACGTGAACCTGACAAATCT